TTGCGGTGGTCATGAGTGTGCCACTGCACTCTAGCCTAGACTCCAACTCAAAAAAATAAATAAATAAATAAAAGGCTGTGTGCCGTGACTCATGCCTATAATCCCAGCCTTTGGGAGGCTGAGGTGAAAGGATTGCCTGAGCCCACAGGTTCGAAACCAGCCTGGGCAACTTGACGAGACCTCATCTCTACAATAAATAAAAAAATTAGCTGAGCATGGTGGCGCATACCTGTAGTTCCAGCTACTTGGAAGGCTGAGGTGGCAGGATCACCTGAGTCCAGTTGGTCGAAGCTGTGGTGGCTATGAGCGTGCTACTGCATTCCAGCCTTGGCAACAAAGTGAGACTCAAACTAAAAAAAAAAAACAAGAAACAAAAATGAATTGCTGAGCATGGTGGCTTACGCCTATGATCCCAGTACTTTGAGACTTCGAGACTAGCCTGAGCAACATGGCTAAACCTCATCTGTATAATAAATTAAAAAATGAGCTGTGTGTGGTGGCATGACCCTATAGTCCCAGTTACTCGGGAGGCTGAGGCAGAGGGATCGCCTGAGCCCAGCAGGTCAAGGCTGTGGTAGCCGTGACAGTGCCACTGCACTCCAGCCTGAGTGACAAAGTGAGAACCCTCTACTCAAAAAGAAAAAAATACAAATTGAAACAATGAGATGTAACTTTCTTCCAACAAAATAGCAAAGGATAAGATAGATAATGCTGGTAAGCACTGTCCTTTTGTCAGTAGGATATAAATTAGTTCATCCTTTTTTGAAGGCAATTTAAGTAAATTAAATTAAAGCAGTTAAAACTTTCTGACCCAGTGACTTCACTTCTAGGGATATATCCTAAGGAAAGAAAAATTCTGCATAAAGATGGTAACACTTTTATTGTTATTATTATTTTTGAGTTGGAGTCTCACTCTTTCGCCCAAGCTAGAGTGCAGTGGCACACTCCTGGCCACCCCAGTGTCGACCTGCTGGGCCCCAGAGATCCTTCCACCTCAGCCTTCCAAGTAGCCAGAACTATAGGCATGCGCTACCACTGTAGTTGCAAGTAGCCGGAACTATAGGCACGGCTAATTTTTTATTTATTGTGGACACGAGGTCTCATCAAGTTGCCTGGACTGGTCTCGAACCCGCGGGCTCAGGCAATCAACTCGTCTCGGCCTTCCAAAGTGTTAGGATTACAGGCTGAGCTACTGAGCCCAGCCATTATTTTTTTTAATAGTGAAAAAAATACAACAAAAATAATGTATGTCCTTAATATCTTATAGTCATTAAAAAGAATGTTTATGAAAAGTTTTCAATAATATGGAAAAATAAGTTTAACATAAGTTCATGGTTTTTAATTTTTTTTTTTTTTGAGTTGGAGTCTCACTCTGTCACCCAGACTGGAGTGCAGTGGCCACTCCCGGCCACCGCAGCCTCGACCTGCTGGGCTCCGGCTATCCTTCCGCCTCAGCCTTCCGAGTAGCCGGAATTACAGGCACACGCTACCATGTCCGGCTGATTTTTTTATTTTTTTAATCCTAGAGATGAGGTCTCGCTAAGTTGCCCAGGCGGGTCTCAAACCCGCGGGCTCAGGCAATCCACTCACCTCAGCCTCCCAAAGCATGGGATTACAGGCTGAGCCACGGAGCCCAGCTTAATTTTTGTTTTTTGGAGTTGAGGTCTCACTCTGTCACTCAGGCTAGAGTGCAGTGGCACACTCATGGTCACCCCAGCATTGACCTGCAGGGCTCCAGCAATCCTTCCACCTCAGCCTTCTGAGTAGATAGAACTACAGGCACGTACTACCATGCCTAGCTAATTTTTAAATTTTTTTTGGTAGAGACGTGGTTTCACTATGTTGCCCAGGTTGGTCTCAAATTCTTGGGCTCAAGCGATCCCCCCGCCTCAGCTTCCCAAAGTGCTGGGATTATGGGGTGAAGCCACCACACCTGGCCAACTATGTGGTTTTTATTTATTTATTTATTTATTTATTTCGAGTTGGAGTCTCACTCTGTCGCCCAGGCTGGAGTGCAGTGGCACGTTCACAGCCACCGCAGCCTAGATCTGCTGGGCTCAGGTGATCCTTCTGCCTCAGCCTTCCAAGTACCTGGAACTACAGGCATGTGCCACCATGCCTGGCTAATTTTTTGATTTATTGTGGAGATGAGGTCTCATCAAGTTGCCCAGGCTGGTCTCGAATTCATGGGCTCAGGTAATCCTCTCACCTCAGCCTCCCAAAGTGCTAGGATCATAGCTAACTTTGTGCATGTGTATGGTTTTTTTTTTTTAATTATAAAGATGTGGAGTACAATTCAGGGTTAGGTATACAAACGATTATGCAGGTACCCTTGTTGATAAGGTATGCCCCTCCTTCCCCTAGCAGTTTCCCTCAACTGCCAATCCCACCCCCCTCCCCTGACAGTTTCCCACTACTGCTGATGCCTTTCTTATAGTATTATAATTGTTCAAGTTCTGGTTATAAGCAAGAACATATGGTACTCTGTCCTTTGTTAACTATGTGGTTTTTTTTGTTTTGTTTTGTTTTTGAGTTGGAGTCTTACTCTGTCGCCCAGACTGGAGTGCAGTGGCTGCTCCCGGCCACCGCAACCTCGACCTGCTGGGCTCCGGCGATCCTTCCGCCTCAGCCTTCCAAGTAGCTGGAGCTACAGGTGTGCGCTACCACGCCCGGCTTATTTTGATTTATTGTGGAGAAGAGGGCTTGCCAAGTTGCCCAGGCGGGTCTCGAACCCGCGGGCTCAGGCAATCCACTCACCTCAGCCTCCCAAAGCACGGGATTACAGGCTGAGCCACCGAGCCCGGCTAACTATGTGGTTTTTAAAGAAATGAAATCAGAATTCAGTTAATCTCTGAGAGACTTTAAGGTGAGATAAAATACCAGTAGTGCGGTGTTCTACTTTGATAGGTCCCCCTAAAGCAAATATCCCAATTTCAGGCTATTCCTATGTAGAAAAATAAAATAATACAAGCAGGATCCTATATTTACTTATATATTATAATCCCAATTTTGATTTTTTTTTTTAGATTAGAAAATATAGTTTATTTAGAAAGTAAATTAGAGAGAGGAGATTCACCTCTCTAAGGTAGGAGAGGGGGCCAAAGCTTCATGGCCTGGCCATAGATCAAAGAACACAAGACTAGACCATAACTTAGCAAGGCAATGGCAGCTTTTTTTTTTTTTTTTTAAGGAGTCTCACTTTGTTGCCCAGGCTGGAGTGCAGTGGCACACTCACGACCACTGCAGCCTCAACCTGCTGGGCTCAGGTGATCCTTCGGCCTCAGCTTTCCAAGTAACTGGAACTACAGATGTGCACCATCATGCTGGGCTAATATTTTGATTTATTGTAAAGATGACATCTTGCTGTGTTACTCAGGCTGGTCTCGAACCCCTGAGCTCGGGCAATTTTCTCACCTCCGCCTCCCAAAGTGCCGGGATTATAGGCATGAGCCACTGTGCCTGGCTTAGTTGTGGTTTTCTTAAGCACTATTATAGTTCATAAAATCTAAAATAATATCAGTTTTCAGATGTATCCAAATTTCAGAGGTATTAAAATGTGAAAAGACATTCTTTTTTTTTGAGTTGGAGTTTCACTCTGTCGCCCAGACTGGAGTACAGTGGCTCGCTCCCGGCCACTGCAGCCTCAACCTGCTGGGCTCCGGCGATCCTTCCGCCTCAACATTCCAGGTAGCTGGAACTACAGGTGCGCGCTATCACGCCTGGCTAGTTTTTTGATTTATTGTAGAGATGAGGTCTTGCCAAGTTGTCCAGGCGGGTCTTGAACCCGTGGGCTCAGGCAATCCACTTGTCTCAGCCTCCCAAAGTTCTGGGATTACAGGCTGAGCCACTGAGCCCGGCCAAAAGACATTCTTTTTATAATTTATTGAATATAGTAATTTATTTCTAAGTCAGTATTCTACAACTTTTTTCTTAATACCTGAGGAAAATAATACATTCATCAGTTATGGGAAATCCTTGTAGCAAGTAAATCTCTAATGTGGGAGTATATTGGAATCTCTGGTCATGGGTGCTATGTTGTTTAAGAATTGCTGCCGTAGGCCGAGTCCAGTGACTCATGCCTGTAATCCCAACACTTTTAGAGGTGGGGGCAAGGATTACCTGAGCTCAGGGGTTCAAAACCAGCCTGGGCAACATAGTGAGACCTCATCTCTACAATAAATAAAAAGTTAGATGGGTATGGTGGCCCATGCCTTTAGTTCCAGCTACTTGGAAGGCTGAGGCAGAAGGATTACCTGAGCCCAGCTGGTTGAGGCTGTGGTTGTTGTGAGCATGCCACTGCACTCTAGCCTGGGTGACAGAGCAAGACTCCAACTCAAAAAAATAAAAAAAGAATTGCTGCTGTAGGGGTTGAAATTATTAATGATTTCTCTTTCCTTTTTATTTCTTTTAATTGATCATCTAATTCAATTATTCATTTTTGTAGTTTCCAAAATGTTATAATAAACATGTTTTACCCTTATAATTAGAAAAAAATTACTTTAAAAAGAAGTTTTTTACCTATCTTTGGATTTTTCTTTCTGATGTGGCTTCATTTAGTTGTGAGCCTTGCTCTTGCTTTTATTTTTTATTTTTTATTTTTTTTTTGAGTTGGAGTCTCACTCGTGTCACCTGGGCTAGAGTGCAGTGGCACACTCACAGCCACCGCAGCTTCAAACTGCTGGGCTTAGGCGATCCTTCTGCTTCAGCCTTCCAAGTAGTTGGAACTACAGATGCATGCCACCATGCCTGGCTAGTTTTTGTGATTTATTATAGAGATGAGGTCTTACCAAGTTGCCCAGGCTGGTCTCGAACCCTCAGGTTCAGGCATTCCTCTCGCCTCAGACCCCCAAAGTGCTGGGATTACAGGTTGAGCCACCATGCCCAGCCTTCTCTTGCTTTTAATAGTAAAGGCTTCTGTAACTCACTGGGTGGCAGGGAAAATGAGGTGCTGGTGGTATATGTCACCTATTCAAAAGGAACAACTCTGTCTCTCTGGCTAGATAACTAAGAAACTTCAGCATCTCCAGGAGAACCAAGAAGTTGGACAGGCCCTGCTGCAGGCTAGGAATGTCATGGTAAGTGTTGATTGACCTTATACTGCCAATGGGCCTCCTATGAAGATCAGGAATGGAGAATCCGGCTGAGTACAGTGACTTATGCCTATAATCCCAGCACTTTGGGAGGCCGAGGCAGGAGGATCACTTGAGGTCAGAAGTTTAAGACCAGCCTGGGCAACAAAGCAAGACCTAGTCTTTACAAAATCGAAAAATTAGCCAGGCATGGTGGAGTTACTCAGTTACTCAGGAGGCTGAGGCAGAAGAATTTCTTGAGCCCAGGAGTTTGAGGCTCTGGTGATCCGTAATTAAGCTACTGCACTCCAACCTGAGTGACAGAGTGAAACCCGGTCTCAAAGCAAATTAAAAAAAACAAAAAAAGAATGGAGAATCATGAGTGGTTAGTAGATGGTGATACTCAGCTGTAGCAGTGAAGGGAGTTTTCCAAACCTTTGTTACATCGTCTCCTTATTGGGAGCTTAGAATTTGGAGCAATGATTTTTTTCCCCCCAGGGCTCCTGCTTCCTGCTTTGTGACTTTATTTTATCTAGCCTAGCCCTCTTTCCCTCCACAGCAGTCATGGGTGCTAGTTTCTAAAGAGCTGATATCTTTGCTTCACCTATCCCTGTTGCACTTAGAAGAGGATAAAACTACTGTGTGTCAGGAGGTAAGCAGCATGAAGATGGAAATAGAGGTCTCTGGCGGGACTGTAAGCCAAAAAGAGGAACTGGACACGGCATCTGATTCTTATTTTGCAGTCTCGGCATGCAGAAACCTTGGTCTCCTGCTGTTTTGATGTGCTAAAGAAATTGAAGGCAAAGCTCCAGAGCCTCAAAGGAGAAAGGGAGGAGGCAAGGCACAGAGAGGAAATGGCCCTCAGAGACAAGGATGTGGTAAGGTGCCGGGCGCTTGTTCCTGAAAATAAGAGGTTTCTACCTCAAAGTTCCTTTAAGAACATGAATGCACTTGAGATAGAGAGGTAACCTGAGGACTGACTGCCCTGGGGAATAAAGAACTGAACTCCTGGGGTGTTGGGTGGTTATAGCTTTTTGTGCTGTTTCTCCTGTTGCCCACTGTCTCCTTGCAACCTCATCCATCAACAGGCAGAGACAGTGTTGGAGGCTTTCTGTGCACATGCCAGCCAGCGCATCAGCCAGCTGGAACAGGACCAAGCATCTGTGCGGGAATTCAAAGGCCTTCTGAAGGAGGCCCAGACCCAACTGGTAATTTAAGGGCATTTGCTTTCCCGGGGTCCACAATGACACACTGGGAGGATGGTCACATACCCCTACTTTGCTGTATCCAAAGGGAAGGAGCGCTCTTCCTGAGCAATCCTTCTCTTGTAGGTAGGGCTTCATACAGAGAAAGAAGAGCTGGCTCAGCAGACAATGAATCTTTTTTCTACCTTGCAACAGGACTGGAAATCCATGCAACTGGATGTGAGTATTTGAGGCCATCATAACCATTCCCTTACTCACAGCCAGTGCTATTAGTAGTCTTTACTCAAGTGTGCTCTACTAACCTGCTTACTTCCCCTGGTAGTGTATAACATGGACAGCTTTGCTGAGTCGGTCTCGACAACTCACGGAGAAACTCACGGCCAGGAGCCGGCAGGCCCTGCAGGAACGTGGTGATGCAATTCAGGAAAAGCAGCAGGTACAAGCCAGGAGGGGGTTCTGCTCAGGCCTAGTTTCCTTCTTTGCTGGAAGCCTTTATAACATGCTATCATCAGCCTCTTACCCAGGACCTGCCTTCTTTCAACCCTATGGGTTTGGAGACCAGCCAAAGACCTCCCTTAGCTGTAAGATGGTCTTAAGCCCAGTTGTTTCCTTTGCCCTTCAGCACCTTCTTTACTTCAACAACTTTTCTCCTGTCCCCACTTTTTCCTGAGGATCAACCTTATTTTCTGCAATGTTGCTGCTCAGGAGCAAGGTAGTTTGCTATCTTGTCCAGAATGAGAAGCTGAGACTAAGTTCTGGGATTCTTAATTCAGGTGAAACTATAGGAAGAAACTGTCTTTTCTTCCTAGGTTTCCAGGGAGCTGGAGCAAGTCTCTGCCCATTTAGAGGACTGCAAAGGCCAGATAGAACAATTGGAGTTGGAAAACAGTCGCCTAGCAACAGGTGTGTGTGAATGCACATGCACACATGCAAGGAGTTGAGCCCCACTAAGGCTTGGAGTGTAGCAGGACAGCACACCTGCTTTGGAGCAGAAGTGTAGGGGGTTTCTGACCTGGTGACCACATGGTGTCATTAGGATACTTTTGCTCTAGATCTCCGGGCTCAACTGCAGGTTCTGGCCAGCATGGACAGCCAGCTAAAAGAGCTACAAGGTCAGCATGCCCACTGTGCTCAGAACCTGGCCACGAAGGATGAGTTGCTCCACCAGCTTACCCAAAGCAATGAAGAGCAGGCTGCTCAGTGAGTTCTTATCAGGTTACTATGGCAGTAGGCGCCCAGTATGTAGGAACAAATGGGATTTAACATGTGGTCTTTGGCAGATGGCAAAAGGAAGAGATGGTACTAAAACACATACAGGCAGAGCTGCAGCAACAACAAGCTGTCCTGGCCAAAGAGGTGCGGGATCTGAAGGAGACCCTGGAGGTAAGGAATATGACTTGGGGCAAGGGGGCTCTAGTGTGACTCTTGCCTGATAGCATTGAGGTGAGGTCTGAGACTGAACTGGATGGACGCAGTGGCTCACGTCTGTAATCCCAGCACTTTGGGAGGCAGAGGTGAGAGGATTGCCTGAGTCCAGGGGTTCGAGACCAGCCTGTGCAACTTGGCGAGACCTCATCTCTACGATAAATCCAAAAAAATTAGCCGGGTGTGGTGGCACATACCTGTAGTTATAGCTACTTGGAAGACTTAGGTGGAAGGTTTGCCTGATCCTAGCAGGTCAAGGTTGCGGTGGCTGTGGGCGACAGAGTGAGACTCCAACTCAAAAAACAACTAAAGAAACAAACAAAAAAAGAGACTGTAAACTGGAAAAAGTCTCTGTCCCCAGAGCTCTAAAATTCCCCACTTGGACTCATTTTACCCCCTCCCCCCCTTGCTCTTTCCCTTCCTTCCTTCTCTTGTCTTCACAGTTTGCAGACCAGGAGAATCAGGTTGCTCACCTGGAGCTGGGCCAGATTGAGTATAAGTTGAAAACTACGCTGGAAGAGCTCCGGGAGCGCAGCCTACAGTGTGAGAACCTCAAGGACACTGTAGAGAACCTAACGTAAGATCTCCACCTTTTTGTTCTTCCCTCTAAGTGCTGAATTTTCCCAGGAACACTTCTAGAAGCCGAAGTCTCCAAGAAGAGAATTGTAACAGTGTTGAGCCTCATTTCTTTTCTTGAAAGCAACTCTGTGTTTGATTTGGGAGAGGCATTCACAGAAGGTAATCTGGTCTTTGGCTGTCTTCCCTGTTCCTTATTTCAGGACTAAATTGGCCAACATCATAGCAGAGAACCAGGAGCAAGACCTGAAGAAGACACGCCAGTATTCTCAGCAGCTAGGGGAAGTGACTGAACAACTGCAGAGCCTGACCCTCTTCCTACAGACAAAATTAAAAGAGAAGGTAGGGTCCTGGGCTTCCTTCTCTCCTCTTCCACTTGTATCTTTACTGTATAAAATGGTCTTCCTAAAACACTATTCTTTTTCTATCCCTGTGACTTTCAGTGACCCATTACACAAACTTCTCTTCACTAGTCTCTGCCTCCCTGTTAATGAATCCTTTATTCCAGCTAGACTGCCTGTATACTACACACATGTCCCATCTTCATTCATACTTAGACTTGGGCTATTTCCATATCCATTCTCTTCTATCGTTACAATGGAAATAACTTTTCTTTTCCATTAAAATCCTCCCTAGTTCACCTTCTTTGAAATGTCCCCTGATAACATGGACCTAGAGATCTCTTCTGCTATGCTTCTCATAAATTTACTCTCCTTTTGCTTCTGTATTAATTTTCCTTGCATATCTAGTCTCTTCAACCAGACTATGTTTTTTTTTTTTTTTTTTGAGTTGGAATCTCACTCTGTCGCCCAGACTGGAGTGCAGTGACCGCTCCCAACCACCGCAGCCTCGACCTACTGGGCTCTGGTGATCCTTCTGCCTCAGCCTTCCAAGTAGCTACCACACCCGGCTAATTTTTGATTTATTGTAGAGATGAGGTCTCGCCAAGTTGCCCAGGCAGGTCTCAAACCCGTGGGCTCTGGCAATTCACTCATCTCAGCCTCCCAAGGTGCGGGATTACAGGCTAAGCCACTGAGCCCAGCTCAGACTATGTTTAAAGAAAAGCTGGTGGCTCAAGCCTGTAACCCCAGCACTTTGGGAGGCCAAGGTGAGGATTGCCTGAGCCCAGGGGTTCGAGACCAGCCTTGGAAACTTGGTGAGACCTCATCTCTACAATAAATAAATAAATAAAAATAGCCGAGCATGGTAGCGTGTGCCTGTAGTTCTAGCTACTTGGAAGGCTGAGGCAGAAGGATTGCCTGAGCCCAGCAGGTTGAGGCTGCGGTGGCCATGAGCGTGCCACTGCACTCCGGCCTGTGTAACAAGAGTGAGACTCAAACTCAAAAACAAAAAAAGAGTAAGGCAGAAGAGTGAATAACGATCCTTAGACTGCGAAAAAGATGTTGACTTACTCCTCCAGAACTGGGGTCAGCAAAGATTTCCTATAAAGGGCCATTTAATAAGTATTTTCGAGCCGGGCTCGGTGGCTCAGCCTGTAATCCCGTGCTTTGGGAGGCTGAGGTGAGTGGATTTCCTGAGCCCGCGGGTTCGAGACTCGCCTGGGCAACTTGGTGAGACCTCATCTCTACAATAAATCAAAATGAGCCAGGCGAGGTAGTGCGTGCCTGTAGTTCCAGCTACTTAGAAGGCTGAGGTGGAAGGATCGCCAGAGCCCAGCAGGTCAAGGCTGTGGTGGCTGGGAGCGGCCACTGCACTCCAGTCTGGGCGACAGAGTGAGACTCCAACTCAAAAAAAAAAAAGAAAAAGTATTTTCAATGCTGGGTGTGGTGGCTCAAGCCTGTAATGCCAGCACTTTGGAATTCCGAGGTGAGAGAATTGCCTGAGTCCAGGGATTCAAGACCAGCCTGGGCAACTTGGAGAGACCTCATCTCTACAATAAATAAATAAACTAGCCGGGAGTGGTGCACTTGCCTATAGTTCTAGCTACTTAGAAGGCTGAGGTGAAAAGATCACCTGAGCCCAGCAGGTCGAGACTGCGGTGACTATGAACGTGCCATTGCACTCCAGCTTGGGCGACAGAGTGGGACTCCAACTCAAAAAAAAACCCCAAAATAAGTATTTTCAGCTTTGTGGGCCATATGGTCTCAATCTCAGCTACTCAACTCTGCCTTTTGACAACATGTAAATGATGGCTATGGTTGTGTTTCAATAAAACTTTATTTAAGGCCAGGCTTGGTGGCTCAGCCTGTAATCCCAGCACTTTGGGAGGCCGAGGCGAGTGGATTACCTGAGCCCACGGGTTCAGGACCAGCTTGGGAAATTTGGCGAGACCTTGTCTCTACAATAAATCAAGCTGGGCATGGTAGCACGTACCTGTAGTTCCGGCTACTTCGAAGACTGAGGTGGAAGGATTGCCGGAGCCCAGCAGGTCGACACTGGGGTGGCCGTGAGTGTGCCACTGCACTCCAGCCTGGGCAAGGGAGTGAGATTCCAACTCAAAAACAAAAACAAGAAAGCTTTATTTACAGAAACAGCAGCAGGCCAGATTTGACCTGTAGACTGTAATTTACTGGCCCCTTTCCAACTCTATAATAGTAAATACAGGAGTAGGAATAGGTTTCGATAGATTGTGACAGGGAAAATTGTGAACTTGGCTTTAAATAGTAAAGTTTCAGGTGGACTGTGGAATGTTCTGGTAGATTTTTCAGTGAGTTAGCCTTTGGGTTTGGAGACTGGGAAAAAATCCAGCTGAGAGAGATCAAAGAGTCATTCATGTGGAAGTGGAAGTCTGAAATGGATGTTTTTGTGGAGTTTCTGAAGCAAGGCCACCCTGGGAATGGATTAGAGTGAAAAAAGAGCCAAGGACTCACTCATAAGCAGACCCTGAACATTTACCATAATACTATAAGAAAGGGATTGGCAGCCAGGCTCAATGGCTCAGCCTGTAATCCCGCACTTTGGGAGGCTGAGGTGAGTGGATTGCCTGAGCCCGCGGGTTCAAGACCCGCCCGGGCAACTTGGCGAGACCTCATCTCTACAATAAATCAAAAAATCAGCCGGGCATGGTAGTGCGTGCCTGTAATCCCAGCTACTCGGAAGGCTGAGGCGGAAGGATTGCCGGAACCCAGCAGGTCGAGGCTGCAGTGACCGGGAGCGGCCACTGCACTCCAGTCTGGGCAACAGAGTGAGACTCCAACTCAAAAAAAAAAACAAAACAAAGGGATTGGCAGCAGCAGGATACCACTGGGGTGGGGGGGGGTGGAGCAGGATATAACATCAATAAGCGTACCTGATCTCAAACCAGGCAAAGTGGGGACCAAAGAGAGGCCCAAACTTTACCTGTACAATGACCACTTGTATACCTAATCCTGAATTGTACCCCATATCCTTTAAAAAAAAAAAAGGCCAAGGAATGAACCTAGAGGAGACTAGCAGTTAAAGAAGGACCTGTGGACAGAGAGAAGATATAGTCAGAAAGGTGTGAGACCTACCTTTGAAGGAGAGAGAATCATGTCCTGGAAGTTAAGAAAAGGAAATTTCTTGAAGAACAATATGGTCATCAATATCAATAGGTCAAGAAAAACAAGAGCTGAAAAGTATGCATTGCATTTACAAGTAAGGTTGCCATGGGTGAACCAAATGATAAGAATTTAGGTGGAATGGCAGGGCAAAAACCTGAGTGTAGGGGACTGGGATAGACAGAATAACAGGCAGGAAGTATAGACTTTTCTTTTCAAGTTATGGTCTCATTCTGTCATCCAAGCTGGAATGCAGTGGCACCATCATGGTTCACTGCACCCTCTACCTCCCGAACTCAGGAGATTCTTCTGTCTTAGCCTCCCGAGTAGCTGGGACCACAGGTGAGTGCCACCCAACTACTTTTTTGATTTTTTTTTAGTGACAAGGTCTTGCTACATGCCAAGACTGGTCTCAAACTCTTGGGCTCAAGTGATCCTTCTACCTCGGCCTCCCAGAGTGCTGGGATTACAGGCTTGAGCCATCACACCCATATAGAAGTATAGGCTTTTAGTCAGGTGCGGTGGCTCACGCCTATAATCCTAACACTTTGGGAGGCCAAGGTGAGAGGATTGCCTGAGCCCGCAGGTTCTAGACCAGCCTGGACAACTTGGTGAGACCGTGATGCTAAAAAAAAAAAAAGAAAAAAAGAAAAAAAAAAGAAGTGGTGAGGCTCTGTGTCTCCGCCTGTAATCCCAGCGCTTTGGGAGGCTGAGGTGAGTGGATTGTTTGAGCCTGTGTGTTCGAGACCAGCCCGGGCATATTGGAACTACAGGCGTGAGCTACCACACCCAGCTAATTTTTTGATTTATTGTAGAGATGAGGTCTAGCCAAATTGCCCAGGTGGGTCTCGAACCTGCGGGCTCAGGCAATCCACTCACCTCAGCCTCCCAAAGCGTGGGATTGCAGGCTGAGCCACTGAGTCTGACTTTCTTTCTTTTTTTTTTTTTGAGTTGGAGTCTCACTCTGTCATCCAGGCTGTAGTGCAGTGACACACTCACAGCCACTACAGCCTCGACCTTCTGGGCTCAGGCGATCCTTCCACTTCACCCTTCCAAGTAGCTGGAACTACAGGCACACACCACTGTGCCTGGCTAAGTTTTTTATTTATTGTAGAGACGAGCTCTCGCCAAGTTGCCCAGACTGGTCTTGAATCCCTGGGTTCAACCAATCCTCTTGCCTCTGCCTCCCAAAGTGCTGGGATTAGAGGCACGAGCCACTGCGCC